AACTCCTCCGTTGGGCTTCCATTAACCAGAACTGAGACCCTTGCTGTGGCAAGGTACTCCTTAATCCATCCTCTCCATTTAATCCCAAATCCTAACCTATCCATCATCCAATCCAAGAATGATCAATCCACACAATCGTATGCCTTTTCAAAATCTACCTTGAAAATAAAAGCTTGTGGCTTCCTCTTTTTAGCTTCATCAACCACTTCATTTAAAATCAAAACACCATCCACCAATTGATGACCCCCCATAAAAGCAGATTGGGTTTCAGTAATAATCTCAGGCATCACAGTTTTTATTCTGTTAGCTAACACCTTTGCCAACAATTTATATACACACTCAATCAAAGTAATAGGTCTATAATCTTTCAACTCCCTCGGATTAAGCTTCTTAGGAATTAACTTTAAAAAAGAAGAGTTTAACCCTCTTACTAACCTACCACGCTGATGAAACTCCTCAAAGAAGCTGACAAAATCCTTCTTCAAACTGCTCCAGACAAATTTGATGAAATTGAAATTGAACCCATCTGGCCCTAGTGCTTTATTCCCTTCACAGCTCTTCAACCCTTCTTCAATCTCCTCTACTGAAAATAGCCTTTCTAACCACTCTTGCTGCTCCTTAGTAATTTGTGTGAAAGTGACACCATCCGGCTTAGGTCTACTCCATGATTCTCCTTGAAACAATTCCCTTAAATATTTGACTACCAGTTTTTTCACCAACTCTGGTTCCTCCACCCACCTACCATCACAAAAAAGACCTGTAATACCATTGTGGGCCTTTCTATCGTTTTCCACTTTGTGAAAGTATCTTGTATTAGCATCACCCATTTTCAGCCAATTGCTCCTAGCCTTTTGTCTCCAGATGTTTTCTCTTTTTCTTATAATCTCCCATAGCTCCTAGAAAGCTCCCTGTCGTTGAGCCACCTCAAACCCCTCTAATACATACTCTTCATTCCTCATATCAACATGCTTCACCTTCTGTATAGCATTATCAAATTGCGCCTCCATATCCCCAAACCATGAAAGTAATCACCTGATTTCAGATGTGATCAAATCTTTGTCTAATCCCCTGACTGCTCATTGTTAGTGGCCACCGCCATATCCCCAAACCATGAAAGTAATCACCTGATTTCAAATGTGATCAAATCTTTGTCTAATCCCCTGACTACTCATTGTTAGTGGCCACCGCCAGCCTCCGGCCCCATTTATGATTTATCACAAGGGTGGATAAGAGCAAATCTATTGGTGATGGTGAACCCATTTACCAGGAAGGAGGTCTAGAGAAAAACTTATGGTATGTCTCTCATCCGTCATCCCATGGGGTGGAAAACCTCCCTCCAAAAAAATAATAATACTACTGTAGTATCACTAAGTCCATGGGTTATACAATAATACAAAGTCAAATAAACCTAGTCCAATGGCCTCCAATCCATCTGACCAAGCCCTATTAGTGCGCAACCCATTTTAGCCTCTACTGACCAGGGCAGAGTATTGTGTATGATA